TCAACCGCATCGTCAAAGTGTGCCTCGGAGCTTGTGGAAAAGGAAACGCTGCGTATAGTCGTACAGGCGCTGCGCGTTTGTCTCCTGTGTGCTCACGATCGACGCGCTGGTATTGCTGCCCCTGCCGCCATTGCTGCAGTTGCTATTGTTGTTGTAATGTTACTTTAGTTTGTTGTGGGTCGCAGTGGCAAAGTGACGCAACGATTGTCAAGCGACTTGTTCCTGGTACGATTGCAGCAGGAGTCAGGGGCGTTGTGTATAACATAGGCAACTGCTGCTCGAAAAGAACGGAAACGTGGACTCGTTTATTCCTCGTTTTTTATCGCTCTTTCAGAGGGGTCAGTAGTTGTAGCAATGCCTCGGTTGACCGACGATAGGTTCATTGGTATACCAGTGGTAAACCTGGTGTTGCCGCTTGAAAAAGTAGGGTGTATTTCGTTTATTTTAGCGTGGCCAACGGTTTAGGGATAAATGAACGGAAGAACGACGCACCTATCGACATCGAAAGGGGATTTCTAGGTCCAGGTGGATTATGCTAGGCCTGGCGGAGCACCGTAGCAACCAAAACAAGCCTAGCACTGCGGAGTTGGTCTACCCATAACTGTATAACATTGGATTGCTATAGTTATGGTAATTGGCAGCCGCGGCATTGACTGACGTCAGCCACGGTAGACGAACGCCACAAATGTCGTCGCCGAAAGGCCGATAGCCACCATCTGCAGTGGCCGTGGCCTAGCAGGTGGTTTGCTGGACGACAGGTGAACCTGCGTTGCCGGAGAAAAACAATAAAGGCAATCTACCGTGACCGCTGTTGCTACTTTTCGTGCAGCCTTTGCTGAAGGAGGGTGGGAAATTTTATTAGAAACGGACTACCTACGTGAGGGGCATGCCACACAAAAAGGTGAAGAATGGAGGTGGGGCTAAGGGGTATGTCGGTATGATCAGAGACGTACGAGTCCGCTTCTTCTGTATTATGCACCTACATGGAGTGCAGCAGCGGTAGCAGCAGTAGTAGTAGGTGGCTGCAGCAGAAGTACACGTAATATCTTCATGTAACGATATCGATTCCAATTCAGCCATTCGAATAGAAGGATGAGGAGGGCTACACGCGATTCAGGTGCTGTTTCTGGGAGCCATGGTCGGCCGCCTTATAAGCTGTTACATGCTGTTTTTGTTGTAATAAAGCTGCCGACAAAACACAGCGCATATATATATATATATATATATATATAGTTGTAGAGAATGTGGTACATCCAAGCTTCGGTAGTTGTTGATCATTCTATTGCTGTTGTTGTTCTTTGAGAGACATGTGGCCGTCTCGAGTCACTGGACAAATACCAGGCACCACATAAGCCGTAGTATTAAAATCTGCAGGCCAGATGCTCACTACCCTATGCTCGATGCTAGCAGTGATATGTAGCAACATTAAACAGCAACAGTAATAGCGTCGAACGTAACAGAAAGCCGCAATGAGCTTCGGGCCTTTACTGCTGCTTGAGAGGACCTACAAACAAGGAGTGGGCCGTCACATCTGCCTATTACATAGACAAAGAAAGCAAAATATGACTGTCAGGCCGCCTATGTTAGCAACTTCCAGCGGAGTCACCGTTGTTTCACGTTTAAGTTGTCTTGCGGGCGACGCAGCTATTCGCGAGCGCCAAACGGTCAACACCAATATAGCATTGTTAAATAGATTCTGGCTATTTGATCAAATTTCCTTCTTCACTAGTAACAGCCTGGTATTAGTCTCGGATCATATGCCTCGACTATTAACGCCAGTACCTGTAGAAAGCTCGAGAGGGCAACTATATGGTCGTTATTGGATGACAGTTATTGATGAGTGATGCGCCATACCATGAACCTATATACGCTGATAGTCTAATAGTTGTCACTGTCATTTTTGAGCTAAGTTCCCGATATTATTTTTCTTTAGTCGCGTGTTTCTTCTAGCTTCTAATCTTCAACGTCAGTGAAACAAGGAATCCAGTAGCAAATCTAGTACAAACGCTGCATACAACAACACAAACAAAATACCATGTAGCAAACAAACAGAAAAGCTATTAGTACAAGTTTACACCACTATAGAAGAAACTGCATTCTTACACTTGCATGCCAATGTTACATAAATACAAAATGACTATCCCATTTCAACAGTATATTACTTTTATGCATATATATCTGGCATATTTCACACAATTATCACCATTCCTCGTTGCTGTTTCCGTCCGTTGGTGGTTTGCTTGCACTGCTCTGCATTGTTCTGGCTAGAGATTCTTTTCTACTGCTACAACTACTAGGACACATCTACCGCCACTGTTACGACTGTTGTTGCTGCTAATGGGACCGTTGTCCTTTAAAAACTTGAGTAACGCCTGTCGACAACAGCAACTAAAACGACCTATGGGACTGCATGTCTGCCTGCCTGCCTGCCTGCCTGCTTGATGACATCTTAGCGCTGAACCATCGCTACCGACGACCAGATGGCGCGCGCCGCGTGAGTCCACTATCCGAACACGACGAAACCATTGCCACCGGCACAGTCTCCATTGAAATGCCGGCGAACTATTGATCATCGTATTACTACCAGTACTACTACTACTACTACTACTACTACTACTAACTACTACTACTACTACTACTACTACTACTACTACTACTACTACTACTACTACTACTACTACTACTACTACTACTACTACTACTACTACTACTACTACTACTACTACTAACTACTAACTACTACTACTACTACTACTACTACCACTTCGACTACAACTTCTACTTCGACTACTACTACTTCTTCTACTACTGCTACTACTACTACTACTTCTACCACTACTACTACTACTACTACTTCTACTACTACTACTCCTTCTACTTCTACTACTACTACTACTACTTCTACCACTACTACTACTACTACTACTTCTACTACTACTACTCCTTCTACTTCTACTACTACTACTACTACTAATACTAGTGCTTTTGCAGGTACCAGTAGCCGCGGCAGTGGCAGAAACGTTGGCGCTGTATCGCGCGGAATGAATTTTATGGGGCTACTGTAGTTGGGGCAGTGGCAGCAGACGGTACCCCTACTACTACTGTCAAAAGCAGCGATGGCAGCGCGCGTGTGTTCGTTAGTCACTCTTTCTTCAAAATAGACTGCGGTCCGACAACGAAACCACGCGCGCAGAGCCACCCTTGGCTCCGTTCGTCGCGAGCGGCGTTGCATTGGTAATCGTCACGCGGTTGTTTTCCTTACTATTACGTGTTGTGTCTGTTGTGTACTTGATGAGCGGCCAGGACGGCGACCAGGCCTTATAATTATTTCGCTAGGAAGAGACACACCCTGCAAGGTAGAGTTGGACAGAAAGCCAAAAAGAGTGCGAAGGCCTTCAGGAACCTTTACTGAAACGTTTCCCTAAGGTGCAAACTTGGCCTTTGCTGGTGCTACTTAATGTAGTATAGATTTAGGGCGACAAATCTACGTTACAAATAAGCGTGCTCCCTTATCCGACTATTCATGTAGGAAAAATTGCCAGCAGTTTTATGATTAGCTAACCTGAGAACGGCTCATGTGAGTAACGGCAACAGACTTATATCAGATTCGGAAGTAATCAAAAGGGGAGCTGGTCTCAGTCCTTGCTGTGTGCAGGCCGTAGACGCTATGAACCCAAACAGCTAAGATAGAAGTGTATCTATTCGAGCCGAGATTCATCGATTATAACACGAATCCAATTAAAGTAGGCCAACAAAACGGACACGGGAATGTGACAAGCGTGGCCACAGTGATCTTTTAATCGTGTTGGATTTAATGAATATTCGAACAAAGTTGTACTAGTATTAAAAAGTATCATTAATCAGTAAGGTTCCTTTGCCCCGTTTGATGCGTTACGTTCACCTTGCTATCCGTCTTTATTTTCGTCATTGACATAAACGCGCAGTAACATTATTTCAAGTCGCACGTACGAAGGAGAGTCGTGTAAACTGCGATCTCCAGTGGTCTGTCATCTGCAGACTCTTGCCATCATCATAACGCACGTCGAAGCGATCATCTGCGAATCATCGGTCCCGTAGCACCAATTGACTGCCCCTCCCACATACCTCTCTCTCTCTCTCTCTCTCTCTTCTATCATAAAGTCCCTGAAAGCCATTCCAGAGTCACGTTGCCTCGTCACGCGCTGCCGTTTAGCCAAGTGGTAGCAATAATGGTATATTAGAACATCTGGAATTTGTCCGTCAGTGCTAGGCCCCTCTTTTTTACTATGCTCTGCGCTCTCTACGAATGACGGCTGCGAATTCAACAACAGCGGCAGCTGCCGTATAGCGGCTCAGCGACTGTGCGCGACCCTCTCCGTACCACCTGTTGGTGCGCTACAGGATTCCCCGAGAGTTTCGTCATTGACGACGACGACAACTAGAAAAATAGACACGGAAGAAGGGAGACTGCGTGTGTGTCCTTGATCAGCTCTCGGTCTTTGCTCGGCGGTGGAACATGCTGCTGCTGCTGCTGCTGACACTAAATAATATAGATTGTGTCTTCAAAAGTGATGTACAGACGATTTGTAACAGCACTGTGTAACAAACTCTGCTGTTCTGTTCCTGCAGGAATCTTCGCACGCGAAGCGTCATTTTAGGTACTAGCACTTGTGAACGCAATGCAAATGCTGGCCGATTATTTAACCTGTTCCGTCTGTACGGCCCCCACGAAACTTTCATCTTTGCTATAGAAGACTCGCACTCGAAGAAAGTACCGGCAGGCTACTGTCATTGATCAGTTCCGTTCATACGCTAACTACGTCGTTCCTCATGGATTCTTCAAAGCTCACATCGTCAGCCCATCGAGAACGCTGTGGCCCGTTTTGAGCGGTTGTTTATCGCCAGCTGAAGTGACTTCACTAGAAAGCAATTAACTAGCTTTCTATGAGCGCCTGTGATGCTATAACGGGTACCTCTATTTAATTATGAATTTCCTTAAAGGTGACGAGAAGTCGCTCTATCAAAAATCCATCTGTAGCAGAAGTTCAGCCGACGTTTGGCTGCTGCTGCTGCAGTGACTACGGCCATAGACACAATCGACGCTTGCCACATTGTGATTAGGGAGCATCGGTGATCGTGTGCTGTTGTTTATCTATGAGACAAGGCTTAAAACGAGTTCATTGCCCAGGGACTATAATAGTACTAGCGTAACTCGCCCCTCCATCTAAGGAAGCTATTCGTGAGCGTCACTTCGATGTGCCGTCGGTCGAAACTGGAAGTTTTCCTGTATTTTGGCTAGTAAAGGTGTTCAATACTAATATTTGCTCATATACGGCTCGAGTATGTGTTTTGGATGACATATAAAAGCTTTACTTGACTAACAGGACTGGCAGGAAATTGGCGAAGCTAGGACTATGTATGTCGATGCACGAGGAGAGTTCGTTTGTATTTGTGGCCAAATTTTCAATTCGAATATATAGGTGATTGCAACACTATCGGACCTCTAGTAGCTGCATGTATTTTTACGTCAGTGGAAAGAAAACGATAGTCATTCAAGCTTATCAAAAGGACAAAGTGAGCACGCGCTTAAGTGCACGTTAACGAATAGTACAACACAGTAAGGACAATACGTCTCGTTTTGTATTTAGCTAACTTGTACAAAGTAACTTGAATTGCGAATCGAAGGTAATTCTTAATTACATGACCTTTAATTAGATTTTTTTTACAAACCTCCTATTAAACCCTTTTTCGAAAGAATATAATTTCAAGCGTTGGATATTTTATACTAAGTAAAATGGCTATCAGATATTACACTGCAATGTGTCAGCCGATGTCACTTATCGGCGCGGTCTTAAAGAGGGCCAAGATATTGAAGTCAGTTTTCACGAACAAGCGCATGCTAGGCACGAATTATCCAATACATTTCTCAATAACCTAATTCGACTTTAAGCTAATATCTCGATTGTGTAGCCTTAAAGGTTTATCTAATTATTTGACAAATGTACCGTGTGTGTCGCCCTTCCATCTCCTGCGCTATACCTCACCCGCGCGGACGAATTCAGACATCGTCAAAAGACACCTGCTTGAACGTCCGCCCATTGTAGTATTGCTCAAAGTAGCAGTCAGTGAGATCAACATGTGCGGGATGTGCGCTGTACATGGCTGGATATATTTAGGTCGTGCCGTTCGTTGTGCGTTTTCTGCGCGTCGGTGACGGTGCCGACGTGTCCGACGTCTCGTCTTCTAAAGACGAATGCGGGATGGCTCCGAATCGACTGTCGTCGACTAGACGTTTTAAAAGAACACTCCGCTAGCGTTCGTTTTAGTTAGGGTTCCCTTCAAAACACCGAACGGACTGTTCGCTCGGAGGACGAAGCGACCGATTTGTCGACGAGGGCACTTCCTTGTCGTTGCTGGCAACGACAGGCATCCACGGTTCGAATCAACGTCACCCTGCTGCCGCGGTCTCAAACTACTCCGTACGCGTCCCACGATGCACGAATCATGTGCTTGTTGATGTAATACAGATGCTAGCCATTCGCAACGCTTAGCCACCGTTACGTTGATAACGGCCAACAACTTCGATCTGGCAGCATCTACACACGCACCAAATACCTAAGTTATGAAGACAAGGTTATGCAAAAGGCTGATACAGAGAAAGAAAGGGAATGGCAGGAAGGGCGAGAGATGGTCCTAGCAAACAGTAGCAATCGAACTAGCAAACCATAAAAGGTCCTTTATATATGTGTTGGGAAGAGATCTGGTGTTTAGTAGCTGTTGCCTTGTGGTGCTTCATGGTGGATTTTAGTTAATATGATCCAGAGCTTCAAGAAATCACCAGCTTTACGTTAACTAACTTCCGTATTTTTCTTTGTATGTGTATGCGTTGCAGACGAGCAGGCCAACTGCCGTTCAGAGCAAAAGCATGGCGTTCTCAGAAACAACGGAAGCAAGTGAGGCACGTAGAACAGTAATTGGCAAAGTCACAACCGCACCCTCAGCAGCTCAAGACGCAGCGAAAGAGGTGTCCGATGAAGACTCAGGGGTCGAGATGATTCTGGAGTCTAGACAGTCTTCATCGTCATGCCCATCGTTTTCACCAGCATCATCCATAATCACCCGCAAATATCTTTTGCAGCACCAACGGAAAACGATTCATCCAAAAGAGCGGAGTCACTCCGAGCTGCAACACAGCTTCTGCAGTGATTCCAGTGTTAGCGATCAGGAACGGCCGGGTTCCCACGACTCAGGCTTACGACTGGGAACCATCAGTCCGGACGGAAGCCTCGATCTCAGCTTCAAAATAGGTACTGAAACGTTCAGCACCATTTCACGAGTGTCTAATTGCGATGTAGGTGTCTCTCGCGGCAGTTCACTATCCTCGTCAAGGCCAGCATCTATCAACGTCGTTGTTGCAAGCCAGCCTAAAAGGATCAAGCTAGAAAGTGACAGCCAAGTCGTGCGGCAGCGACGTATAGAGGCCAATGCGAGAGAAAGGACTCGAGTTCACACCATAGGGGCGGCTTTCGAATCTCTCCGAAAAGCGATACCTGCCTATTCTAACGGGCAGAAGCTATCCAAGCTAGCCATTTTGCGGGTAGCTAGCTCGTACATTCTGGCACTGTCATCACTACTCGAAGATAGTCATGAGGGCTTCGAAGATGCTGTGCAAGCATGTTCATCAGCCATCCATCTCGATGGCAAAGTGCGTAAAAGATAGCCGACGGAACAATGCGATAATGAATTCCATAAATCCACCCACGACTGTCGATATGAGCCAAATGAAGTAGCTAACGAGAACGACACATGCGGCCATTCGTACCAACGTATCATCACCATTGTGTTGAATTAATTAATCGAGACATGTCTGCTTGCCTAACTACTATACGTTTGACCCAGCAGCCACTGATAATGCAACTGCCGTAGATGCCCAGCTCGAAAAATTTGCCGAGGTCCAAGTAGCGGCGTTAACGTCAGCAACGCCAAGAACCATTGCCGCAGCGTTTGCACACTCCGGGCGTTGTTAGTAATTCAAGATCGAGTAAACAACATCAAGGATGCGTAATACGTGCGCCTTAATTGCGTAGTAAAATCCATCATGCGAAATAATTTTTCCAGCCGGCGGCTGAAGCTTATCAGACTTACGAACCAATAACCGCGAACGGGGGTCGTAGCAAAGCAGACTGACAGATTTGTAGTTCAAGCCATAGATTGGCAGCGTAGAAATTGTTCTTGCTGCTTCTTAACAGTCCATGTGCTGGGACAGATCTGTTTGCAGGGAGCCATTGCGGACACAGAGAACTCGCACATTCCGTATAGAGATACGAACGACAGGTCAACCGGCGCGCTCACGCATTCAGAACCTCCTATGTACTCAGGCAACGTGAAAAATCGATATGACGGTATTGTTAACCGTAGGCGAAGGCCACATGAAGGTCCACTAATCTTTATAAAATAAAAAAAGAAACGCTATATAAAAGGAGGTAAAATATCGTATAACGTAATGCCGAATTAACGGAGGACGTCGGTACTACCCGGTAGAGGTTAACAAAATAGCACTTACAATCTATTATAGATTACGTTTATAAATTTCTCATATTCAATGTAGACTGCCAAGCAAACTTCAGTGGCAACAAATGCACCACCGGAGGCTAAAGGTCGACGCACCAATAAAAGCTGGTCAGAAAGTAGCGCACACGATAAACATCAGAGAAAGCGGTAAATATTAGTGTAAAAAAAGGTAGTGCTATATAGAGCGATTCGATGATAAGAATACACTTCAGTGCGGTGCGGGTCTGATAAGTAGAAGGGGTAGTTCAACAGGGGTCTAATAACTAGCAGGACCTAATGATGCTGTATGCAAAAAAATGTTACCTTGTACATAGGTTTATTTGTTTAAAGGTCGTTTGTACATATAATCCATATAACTTGCTATATGAACGAGGCTGAGAAAAAAAATAGTCTTACATGCATGCTCATTAGATTTTGCTGCATGTTTTATTTGCATATGATTGTACAAGATAAAAACAAAGTTTACGCAAAATCTAGAGAGAGAGAGAGAGAGAAATTGTCGCATTGTTGAAATTAATACATTTTATTAACGCATTCTATTTAACCAATACATTAGTGGTGTTTTATTATTACATTATAACTATAATCGCCTGCTACCCAGTTAACTGTCCATGTATATATATATATATAAAAACATCGCAATAATTTAATTATTTAGGCTCGGAGTACGTAAAACAACAACAAAGCAGCAGATCGTTCCTATAATTAATGAGGTTCCGCTGTTTCTGTAAACTGCAAAACTTCTGGTCGCTTCTGCAAAGCCCCCAAATTGGTGTGAAGCCCACCAACTATTTCTACAGGACTATTTTCAAGAGCTCTCTCTTATGTCCTAGCTAGCTTTACCTTCGCCGAAGTATCCCCTGTGAGTGGAAAAAATTATTCGAAATTCTGCTGGCTTGATAACCGAAGAGTGGTGAGTGTCAGACTCTATAATAAAACGATTACCGTTCGTTGCCAGAGGTTCATGTAGGAAGTGGACCAGATATGGCCATCTCGAAAAAAGATTCAAAAAGAGCATCAGATGAAATTTTACAAGGCTTACTCCTGCCCTGCGTTGAAGGTCGTTCTAATAGGAAAGAACCACTCTCTCAAAACTGTGCTACCCCGCTGGCAACCCGAGCATAACAGCAATAATGATAGTAGTACTAATAATAAGCGAAATACAGATCCTGCTACCGTGTTTTCTCTGTATTTAAATGGAAGTCCGATTAGAGTCAGCATGCCAATGGGGGTAAGCACATCACTTCGAATTTGAATCTAGAATCCTCACACGACATGTCCTAATGGCACTTAACCCCATAATCAACGTCCGAGGCCTCTGCAATAGTTGAGAGAGGAGCACGGTTCAGTACTTCTTTCAGTACACGGTTCAGAATTTTCTTTTAGTGTTTGTTTTATAGCCTTTTAAATCTTCAGATGCGTAGACTTATCAACGCAATCGGATTCGGAAGTCTATATTTGTTTAAATAGCGGTAGGACTCTTCTTCGCTAGCATAGCCTGACGGCTGGTAGGCCGCTACCAGATAGGTCGAAAGGAATATAATCGAAACGGCTACGGCCCCAGCCGGTATTCGCTAGGACTAATGAGCAACTAGATAATAATTGTCGATTAAGCCAACCAGCCCGCATGATTAAAGTCAACTGTAGCTGTGATCATACAAATCCGAATTACAGGAGAGTCAGATCAGTGCTATATTATTATAGATCTTCTAACGGAAGGATGTTCTATAGATAACGTCATTATACTTATAAATTAAATAGGACACGACGATTCAGCGCTCCGCACTACCAGATGGCCTCACAGTTACCTCTTAAGCGATCTGACAGAATGGGACACGTAAAAATTTTAGTTCAAGAATTTTAGTTAGGAAAAAAATAGCGGAAAGAAGCATATATATATATATATATACACATATAATCGTAAGGGCACACATGGAACGAGTAAGCAGCCCGAATGTTAAGTAAGTTTCCTAAAATGCAAAATTTGTGTTGAGGTAATTGTAAACATTACGAAGCCAGTGGTCTAAATAAGCGCTACGTGCAATGTCCTAGAAGCATCGGGGCAATCACCAGTTGCGGTTAGCGCTCTCTAGCATAACAAAGTGACAGGAGCAAGAGATGTGTGAAGATGCCCTTTTACAATCTTGTCTGCTTAACAAGTCCAAGTAATGTTTCTATACCATTCGTTGAGAGCCAACGAGAACTAGCGATCTAAAACAAGTAGACGTTCGATAATTGACAGTCCTTTTTCCTATTCGACGAGACAGTGTCCGATAAAGTTAAGAGCTTCGCTAATTAACAGCAAAGGAAACAGATTGAAATAAGCTAGTTAATTCAATCTCAGCAACAATTCAACATTGTATCGGCTTTGATACATCAAATACGATGATGCCATCGTTTGCTAGCGAATTCGTCAAGATACCGGACCTATAGTATGATGCACATGCTGAAGGGCCAAAAATTGTCGAGGTCAAAGGGTAACTGATGTCTCGCTATTCGGCAGGTTGTACACAGTTGAAATGATATCGCTGTATCAATAAGGGCCCCTCCAGTCGTGACCTTGGGGCCTACGTCTAGCTTTGAAAAAACCACGCGTTAAGGACGTAGAGGGAAACGCTGCGCGTATCGGCGAATCATCACATCACTGGCAAGTTGGCCATACCCATTGCACTACCTTCAACAAAATCCACTTGGTTAGCCAGCGAGGTTTTCGCCTACTTGAATCGAAGGGCAAATATGTTGCCTGCTGTGTTCATGCGGCGACCCATTGATTGTACGATGGCCTTCTGTTACGGGGATAATTTAGTGAAAATTCAATATTGAAGATAATAATGTAATGCAAATGGATAGCTTTGTATTTAACAGTACGCAAATTTTGTCTGGATATAACCTCGGCCCGTCCTTCATGGCCTGCCTCTACCACGCCGCATCTCCTGACAACGGTCGCTTCGTTCTACTCTTCATACCGGAAGCCGACTCTGTAAAAAACAGTACCTGTCAATCTAAGTCACCCATTCTATTAGTACAACAAATATACTGACAACGAAATGGAATCGGCCTACGACAGTACAGATTTATGTTGAGAATCGGGCTTATCTAACGCCTACGGTTAGATAATATGCGCAGTCCTGTGTATTCGAGTTTTCAAAAGAGCCAACGTTAAATTTAATATTAAACGATTAGGATTAACACGTCCACTCGATCCTTCTGATACATGTCAACTCGGCGTTCGTTGGACAGCGTTAACTATATCGGAATCACCTCGTATATTTTGAGTAAAGGTCCAATTATATATAATTGTACATAGTAATAATAGATTGATAAATACTAGCATGTTTTGCCTGCCAATGCTGATAAAATACGTCCTATCCTCTGTCCTTTGATTGCATATATAGGTTGCGTAGCCTATCGAATGCGAGAGTTGCTTTCTGTGAACAATTGCCACTGTTCACCGGCCGTCGATGCTGTTGCACACTAAATTGACAGTGCCTGCTGTGGTCTGATAAAGTGAACCGCAAGCACTGATTTGTATCAGCTTCACAGCTAAGCCCGTTGTCTTTCAGGTTGATGACCTGATTTGGCCTAGTTCAGGACTTTGCCGCGACTACGATAGCTCGTGCCGTTACATTTAGAGCAGAGTTCGCCATATGAATCAGCAGGTGGCTGCCATGATCCTGACTATTTTTTTTTTTTTTGATACGCTAAAAAAAAGCCCACAAGCAATTCTTTAATAGAATCTACTATATAATATGCATCATTGTCAACAGCTCACTTGCTGATTCGAAAGAAGCGTGTGTGTTGGGGAAATTAAGCAGGGGTACGAACAGGAACGTGGCGCAGATTACGCCAAACAGGGTCGCATCATTGTTATTATATTTCGTAGTTTAGCAAGAACAGATAGGTTTACTCTCCTTTCACATGTATATGTGTAGATGCTTCACATAAAATCTGCTCTATGCGTTATAATATGTAAACCCGATATGAATACGCTGTCACTATTAATTTCCGCTTACACACCATTATATCCTAATTGATTTGATGCAAGCAAAAAAGCGGCACCGAATGTCTGCATCTACTCTATAAAATGGTCATATAGCTCAAACTGTCTCACACTGACTGTGTTACAAATACGGATCTCCAGAATGTTGCCTGTAAATACTCAGCCGCCAACATGAGGTTTTAACATTTCTATAAAATGAGGCAAAAACGTTCGTCTTCGTTTCATTACGGTTCAGTCTGTAATAGTCGGATCGCAGTTCTAGTGCTTGGCTCAGCGAGCGCTTTCGAGGTAACTTCTTTTCTTTATCATAATTTCTGTGTTTTCATCTTTTCTGGCTTCGCACTCCAGCGTAATTTCCGGCGGGGCTCGCGCGATGATCGTTATACCTGTTGATTGTTCTGCTGTGTGCCTGCCTGCCTGCCTGCCTGCGTCTGCTTCGGTGGCTGGCTCGAAAGTACACGCGCGCAGGCCATAAATTCTCCTGTCGAGGAGAGGATGGTGCGAAAGTGTGATAGAGACACGAGTTTGATAGCGTTGTCGGCTGCCATACATAGCTCGACCGCCTGTCGTTCGGGTCGTACTATGGTCCGTAGTCGCTGCTTACGCGACGGATGGCACTGGTGCGTAAGCAGCCAGCTGCCGAACGTTAGAAGCCATCCGGAACCTCAGCAGTGAAGCCAGACAGTGTAACGGCGGCATCACATGCAGATTGCGGCGAGAGGTCCGTTTTTGGTTGGGGGTTTCGTTTACCTCAGAACACAAAACGAGGAGAAAAGAGGGAGAAGGGTAATAAGGGGTAGGGGGTCAACACCAGAAAATATCATTGAAAACAATACTTCTGCTTTAACTGTAACAGCAGCACGAGCACGGACTCGTGGACTGGTTATCAGATACATGGGAAACGCTACAAATACGCTGTTTAAATCGGCGAACTTACTAAAGCAAATCTAATCGTATTGTTAAAATAACGTGACTACTAGGCAATTCAAATAGCGTGAAGCACTAAGTAGAAACTCGGCTCTAAATTGCGGTCAGTCTAGCGATCCGTTGTCGGTCCTGTGCGCGCATGTAGAAGGCGCTGTGTAGAAGGCGCTCACCTTATCGTCAATAGCCATACAAGCGAACCAGAAAAGTTGCCAATAGTCCAACATTTATCTAGATAAATCCCAGCACCATAAAAATATGGGCCATAGACTTTTACAGAGCTTCGAAGGATCGACAGCCCACAATCGAATTGCGAAACCGGACTAATTCGAGCGGTGGCAGAAATTGGTCAGCCGATAATGTCCTGTACTCGAGCCCTCGGTTTAAATAGGAACAAGGTTTCACTGGTACGGTTCTTCATATTTCTAGACCACCGGCAATGTCCTTTTTGTTACCCGTAAAGAATTAAAGTTACATTCGAAATGGGCGGATTTTCTGGTAAGCTAGTGTGGCCATAATGCTAACAACTGAATAAAATCTGATTGATATTTAGCCGGACACGTGGAATCTATGATCTCGAGTATTATCGGTATCATGTTTTAGTTGCGCTAGTTTATTTAGCAAGTATTTGTGGACGTTATCACTATCAAAGATAAAACAAAGTGACTCTTTAGATTAGTTTCGATTAGAGCAGAATTACAATTCAAGTTAAGTAAATTCGATCCAGGTCTCGGTTGCGTGAAATAGAGACGAAGAAGGACGATGCATATATAGTATTTCACTGAAAACCTATCTGTTAATACACGAGCTATTGTACTCCTTTTACTGGCTAATCAGCGTAAAAGCTATATGTTTCTTATTCCCTTTCAGTACTACACGCAGTGATATCTTATTTTAGATAGAAGTAAAATGTAAAACGCTAAAACGGTAATCGCTGATCAGTATCGGCAGCACAAAACGTTCAATATGTTGATGTGAGAATACTTCTGCTGTACACATCCCGCTCAATATGTACAAAGTGTAACAGAAAAAAGGACACTACTAACGGTAATGAGTATTTTGACTGCTTCTTCACCTATAGAATGTGAGGCGGGCAAAAAGGATAGCTAACAAAATCCTTCTTGCTCTTTCGTCGTTATATCGTCTAAGCTTCTCCCAGGGGAAACGGGGTAGTCTCACAACTATGGAATAAACAGTCGAAGACACACAAGCAGGCGAAAGCCATGAAGCAGAAGGGCTGAATAGCTAGAAAAGGCCACTAACAACCGTGGGCGTTAAGGTGATAGGGAAAAAGAGATGACTCTGTGCTTCGTTCAAAGGAGAGCTGTAGATTAGAGAATAGGACGAAACCCGGTGTCACGGTCTGTTGGACGAATGTTGCCAAATGCAGATGTTAAAGTGAATCATGCAGTCAGGCATTGAGGTACAAGCAGTCCTTTACACGTTCTGGCCTAGAACCTGGAAAACCAGTAAGGCGTACATACAGTCTAATACAGACAAAACGAATTTCGTTATTGATGATGCATGAATTAAACGTCTAGATATATAGCAGAAGAAAACCCATTAGTTCACCAATACCTGCCGTTAGTCTACTGAAGCTGCATGGACGAGCATTAGTCAAAAATGACCGAACACAATTTCGGAGCATCTATTTTTTTTAACGTGTTTTATTAATGGAAAACGTCTTGAGAAAGCTTACTTGAGAATTTTGTATATACAAATTATATATATATAGCTAAATTTACGATATGAAGGTAAGTACCTGTAATAACTAGTTATTATTGTTGTTGGTGTAGAGGTCCACAGGCCGGCTTTTCCCTGACGTTTCAGAGAAAAAACCATTCGAAGGGATCAACCGTTTCTGACGGCGACAGGTAGGTTAACTCCAATAACATTATATGCTCACTATCAGTTTAGTTCTACTCTACATCGCTTTTTTTCCTAGTATTAGCGTATTGTTTTATACTTCGTGCACTGTCCTATATATATATATATATATATATATATATATATATATATATATATATATATATATATATAGAGAAGTATATATATATATATATATATATATATATATATATACGTATACATAATAAAGCAACACTTTTTATCGCGTCCGCTTTTTACATGCTTGTATGCAACTTACCAGATCATAGCTTGTACTAAATCGCACGACTGGACGTGACTTCTTGATAATATCAGCAGTATTCTTAATGCGAGCGAAATTCGTCTGACAAGTTCTTCGAGCATTTATAGTTCCAAGTTGTTTCGACGAGCCTGCCCCAGCGGGGCAAACGTGAAAAAGTGCGCGCATTTGCTTGCTACAAAAGTTCACTGCATAAACTGCATAAAGCGTTGATGTGCTAGTGTCATGTGGTTGAATACCAAGGTACTTAACATTTTGTTTGACGCGGCTTGCAGCTTGGGAAGCCCAGATGAGCAGCGGCATGGGTTCCGCCATGATTGGTTTGGCTTTGTCTAGGGAGAGGGAAATCCTTCTAGCAGGACCATATGCGCTGGACTCCCAGAATCCTGAGAATTCGACTCCTATAGAACAGTGCTGCATGTAGTATTCAAGTGTAGTGATAGTGATTGCGTGGCCGAATGGCGAAAGGATCGCAGCAACTAAGCAATTGCCGGGTTGGGGGTTCGGTAGTAAGGACAATCGCCTCATTGCCAGGGACGGCTCTCCTCTTAGCTACTTTCGACCTTCTTGGTTTCTGCTAATGTTGGGTGGGGTGAGCAATCCCAAATAGAGGTATGGTTTGGCCGGCTTAACTCAGTAATGGCAGCGGCAGCACCCCACAAGGCTCACAATTCAGAGAACGTCGCGCTCACTATCGACATAAAGGGCTAAGTTGGACCGCCCCCTGTTTGCATGGACAGGCATTTTTACGGACCGGTTCGGTACGCTAGACAACAGTAGGGCACAGGAATGCAATTCTGATTATACACAGTGCATTCCCCACGGACATCGCAGGTCATCGTGCCTATTTGTCTTGCCGTTTCTGCTGCTACTTCATTGAAGTATTTTTGGCTGTAAATGGGTGAGGTGCAGTTCGTCTCTAATCCTTCTTAATAATATAGGTATGGACCGCCTCAACGATTAATAGAACGATACTGTAAAGTTATTACTGAGAACACATTGTCCCTTAATCGTGTGTGCAAGAGACTCGAATATGGCAAACAAGATGGTCAAAACAGGTGACGCTGAAACAGACTGTGTGAAAGCTATGTTAATTCAAATATATGCGTTCGATGGGCACCACATGGCTAACAGAATTATGGCAAACAAGCCGACCAATCATTGTTCATGTAGCATATTTGTAGGTTCCATATTTATTCATCGGCTTAATTTTTAAATTCTAGGTTGGCGACCAATGACGTATACCAATATATTAAGTCGTTATCTTAATTGCTAAAACGTACTTTAGGTTTGATACCTATCCGTGAGTGGCTGAACTTTCGGAAGAACCAAAAAAAGACAATCCATCATCCGCGACCCCTTACACGTTTCCCTTTTCAACCCATGGCAGCTGTTCAAGGCTTTAATGACAGGACAGTCGTAAAGGTATGAAATGCCTTAAGCATCCTCCAACGCTCAAGTACATTACAAGTTTTTTTCTATTGTGAGGCTTCGTGCTGAAGTAGGCATACCCTGACACTTTTATTCTTCATCTTCATATCGAGCCATAGAGATGCTACGAGCAACGAAAGCTTGTTAATTATTCTTTTATTAACAACACCTGATTAGATGCTCCGGGTCCGACTATCTATTTTCCCAATTAGCGAAAAGATAAATAGCTTGATCTCAGCATTTGCTGATATTAGTAGTCATATAGCTTTAATAAATCCCTAACTCTAGCTATAAATGCTATAAAACTTTAGTAGATAGCCGTCTACCATCAAAGCCTTTCTATATAATGCATTATTATTTTAATCTGCAAAATTGAGCAGCATCAGCATCGTTAATTCCTACTCATTGCTATACCAAGTAAAAGCATTCCCTCCTGCTATTCTCGGAAAATCGGCTGGCTTATCGATTACGACCACCCAGCGCCCTTGTCAGCAATGAGAGGTTAAAGATGGGGAACTACCAAAGAAATCAGCTCGAAAAGTCTGCGGTGGATAAACACACCTACACCCAATGGCACTTGGAAGCCATTACAATATGCATTACATTACATTACAGCTACGTGCGGCGTTAGGTCTGCCGGAGATGTACTTATCCTTCGTAGTAGTACATGTTGGTAAGTGTTTGCGAGTACAAGGCTTTGTGGGCGTTTAGTCCCTTGTGTTGGGTATGGCGAGCGTGCCCGCTATCTATATGTAAATGCGATTGCTCGGTCAGCGTGTCGATGTGGCGACGGCCGGCCTCCCACCAAATCACCAGCAGCCCTCCACCCTTACTGTCCATACACATACTTCCTTTTCTAGATCTTGGATATTTTCTATCCCGCTTTCTAAATACACAGACCAGGCAGTCTGCCTATCTGTGTGCGCTTGTCTACGCTTGCTAGCATAAGCATGATCTTATACGGGTGTACCGCGGCCGCACGTGCTATTACACCTTGAGGAAGGGCTGCGGGGCAAGGAAGCAAGCTTTAGAAGCTTGAAGTAAAAGTAGACGAGAGAGGGGGCATCGCTTTGGTAGGCACGCAGTTCAGGGACAATGAACGAGGGACGGGTTGATAAAATATGTGAGAGGGGCAGAAAACACTAGCGATGGACTAAATGAGTAAGCGCTATGAAGAAGACGCGGCTGAGAGGTTCTGCTTTTAAGATAGGTTAGGCCTTTTAGGGAGAAGCGGAGATACGCGAAATCATCATCTTTATTCGTTTTCGCTCGATCTTCCTTCTGTCGAGGAGCATCGTGACAATTACGGAGTAGACTGGAGTCCGCCGTTACGGGCCGCAGCTGCTGGCCTTTCGTCGTCGTCTCGCGGAGATTATGTAAATCTTACTATAAGGATCGATTTGAAAGAATATTGGGTTACCCTTTAGAATGGTCAGATACGTCGCGAAGATAAATCTCAGATAGCATATTCACATATATTTATATATTCTACAAAGTTAGCGAAGTCTAACCTGCACATTTGCTCACAGCACATGTGATTTGGTGCTATGAGCGAGTATAATATCTCACCAGCGTTCCAGCAGCAGACGTTTATTCATCGTGTCTATGTAATCAGATCTTTTCACGACATGGAAGTGTGTGTGTGTGTGTGTGTGTATGGGGGGGGGGGGGTATCTACGAAAACTGCCTCTCTTCATTCTCTGATTTTTTCCTGACAGCAGCGAAAGAAGCAAGATGGAGTTCATTCTGTGTCGGATCCCAGACGCTGAAGTGCCAAGGCCAACGCAACGATTGGGATTAAACGTATACCAAACGTTAGTTTCTTTTGCACTAGACTAACGTGTGTGGTTGGGGCCGTGTTTCACTCTACGTTTATTCTATTCCGAATAGATTGCGGGACCATCCGACGGTGGCCGTGGAGGAGAATATATACATAATGGTAAAGGAATCAATCCGTAGTGCAGAATGACCGCCAACACTTGATCCTTCTTCTACTACGGCACTTTCAGTGTTAAACATATAGGGCAAGCAGTGAACCTTCTTTTTTTTATTCTTGTAAAAAGGTCATTTTATATGTGTCTGACCTAGAAGTTTTCTAGTTTTTCCAGTCTCATATTCTTTGTCTACACGGAACAAGGGACTTAATGATGTACTTGTATACATGTTCAAATATTTGCGCGCGCAATAATTTGGGCGCACTCGTTACAAGCGCTGGTCTTCCGCCTCGCTGTTTAACGTATGTTTGGTTGTCCTGTAGCTTGACTGCAGGTGAGAACTTGCAGAACTTTTCTCTCGTACTGCAGTCCACCACAGCGCCCTCATAATCCCCTCATATTTTGTGCCCACATATATTAATGAATACCTACCAAAGACTCACTCTCGCACACTAGAGTCTGTTGAAGTATAGAACATTCTTTGCCCTTTAATCAGCCGCACGCGTGTGTATGCTTCCGTGTGTATATAGGCAGAGTGGCCGACCTTAAACCAGAGATCAGTTGAGCGTTTGCTGGTTGAACAGTTGTTGGAGCTTTAGTTACGATTCTATCGGTCGCCAGTTAGAGGGTGCAGTAGCTAATGCTTCCACGCGGTAGCTCCTCGATGCTGCTATTGCTGCAGTAACTCCGTCTCATGCCGGTATACATACGACAAAAGCTCTGTATGTAATGATTACTATCGAATTGGCTACGGATGGACTACCTTTGCTATGAACACTGGCTAAATACAGCCAACAACTTAAATTGACCCCATGAAGCCGCTCATCGCTCCTTGCAGTGCCCCTTGTGCAGTACAGCTGCTGTTGCCACTCATTGTATTGTTATCATTGATGTTTCCAGCAGCAGCAGTCACAGGATAAGCGGCTGAACCTGAGGGCTGTAATGAAATACCCTATTTACATATTAATTCGAAATTCGCTAGGGAAGAGCCATGACTCTTTCTCTAGCAAGCTCTCCTTCTTCCCTTTCGAACTTCTGCTGCCGGCGAATCGCCCGTTAAAGACGATTCAGTCAGCCGCTAACCTCACGTCACTGCAATAACGACCGGCTGAGAGGAGGCTGGTGGACGAATCCTTATTGAGCGGCGTCGGCAGCATCAACAGTAGCTGCCTTGGTGGCTACGCATACAATGAAACGATAACGGCGTTTGAATTCGAGTTTCCCTTTTTCCGTTTGTTCCCCCACTCCCCCACTTCGGTCATCTCCGTCCGCGTTATTTCGCATTTCGCTTCGTCGCTCAATACAACGGGAGCTAATCTAGTAGCTGTGTTGGAAATTGATGAACTGTTCTTTCTGTCAGTTTCTTCAGGGAAAGTCGGCAGTTCCATGAACGCCTAGCAGGACGATGCTCGAACGAGGGGCAAACAAGGAACCAATAACACAGGAACATCTCCGCGATTCGTTTGCATTCATAAGTTTGCTTGCTTCGAAACTAGCTGTAAAGACTCTTCGAATACAACGCATTGCCGGAACGGATGCTTCACCTTCTAAACTAACCCAAGCGGAACAGCACTATATGTAATGTTGCAAACGACTATGCAGCAGCTTCTTCCTCAGGAACAGCAGCAGTAACAACAAAAACAAGTGTGCTTCGTACACCGAAACAATAAATAACATTAATGTGATACAATCTAAGAGAGAGAAAGATAATAACCAGGAGAGGATTATCCAACTGGCTAGAGCTTGCTTTAGGTTCCGCTTGGCTTTACCTCACCCGCTGTTTTATATATATGTGTTTGTCTGGCTGCTGTTGTCAAGAGCATTAAGCCAACTAGTAACGGTCAAGCTATTGGCTATTTAGCGAACAGCGCGTCGTGGCGCATAGCGCCGAGCGTAACAGCTGATTTAATGTGGAGCCAACGATAAAAGGCCCGGGTCGGGCAGTGTCGGTGAGCTACGCTGGTGCTTGGCTGGAACATCTCTCGATTGAGGAGCGATAGCGAGAGAGGCAGAACGATAAAACAAATAAGCATTATGAGAAGGTTGCTTGACGGAAGGAGCTTGGTTGATGATATTGCCGTATCGACGACTGTCAACGAATGGATCTCTCGGTTTAGTGGTCTACGAGGTTGGCTGTGCGATTACACAAAACCAAGGATCGGGTACGACCGAAGTAAAATTGTATAGTGAAAGGCTATAGCATATCTGGCATGCTAATGGAAATTTATACATATATACCTCGTCTAGGGAGCTGCCCCACGGTGACCGTAAGTATTGATACTGTATTCTAAACGAAACATTTCTAAAAACAGTCTCTGTTATATGATTATGAGATATAATTAAGGTGCGATCAAATACAAATTAGGTATATTAGATTAAACTGAGAAGTATAATTGCAAAAAATATACAGATCAACACCACATAAAATAGCTATTGTTCGATACTATTCGATTATTATATGTGCCATTAGGGTCTTGCACTGATTTTTCACAAGCTAACTAGGTAATATGGTTCTGACGGTGTTGCGTCACACGCTGAATTTCAACATGATCATCAAATCCACAACTGGACGGGAACAACCCTTCTACTCCTCACCTAGCAACTGATTTCCACTCGCGCCTCTACACGGAATCATTGCTATAGATTGATTCTGTAATCGAAGTGACCCTAACCCTACCCCAACCCAGTGAGGTTTATGGGGCGGTAACAACGGTAAATCGTCTACTTTTAGCTAACATCCTTGTGAAGAGCACGACAGGGGAACTGCCTGTGCGAATATATCGTTACGAAATCGTCTCCGTGCATATCATTGTAGTTTCGCTTATGCAGTTTGAATACAGTTATATATATATATGTATATATATATATATATATATATATATATATATATATATATATAAACAGTGTATACAGTTAACAATAATCGTAATATTATTTCTGTTATAGGTAATTTAATAAATAAAGGTTAAAGCATTACACCGAAAAATAGCTAAGAAGTACTAATACGTTTATCTATTCAGCCAGATATATATTTAGTACTTATTTAAACATCATATACAAGGCGGTAGTAATACTGAGAGAACCGCATAGTCTAGAACTTGAAGGCGGACACCGGACAATGCCTAAAATTGGGAAGTATTGTGAATGTTATTGCTCACCAGCTAAGTTGCATTACGTTGTAACGTAATGCAAGCTATGACTGTTCATCTAATAACATGTACGTACGAACCACCGCACCGTCTGGAACAGGGCTCCGTACTTCAACATACGCGCAACTATCTCCCGTCTGATGAATCTGTTTTTCGTGAGTGTAACTTCGAGAAATTTGTCAAATTGTTGTTCTATAGGAGAAAGGTCTGCCAGTTTGAACGCAACCCCGTTGTGTAGTAGAGTTACTAACATTAGCCAGCTGACACTAGGAACTGTGCTGTTGTCTACCGATGTTGGGATAAGCGATGAGTTAAATGGTTTTCGAGGCGGGGATGTACCCTTTTCCTGATTTCCCGCTTCTGCTATCGTCATCAGCCTCTTCAATCCCGTGTTCTCGTCCTTTGTTAGTGATGTATTTCGGGAGCAAAACAATTTTGCGATTTAAGCGGAAACAGCCACTGAAGACTGTTTCTGGTGGGGATACCGCTTTAAGGCTGTGTGCTGGCTATGTGGGGCAAGAGAAGATGGCGTGACCGTACACAATTTGCATCAAACCCCGCAATTCCATTTCTTCATACGCTCTCTCAGCTTCTTCCCCGAAACAGACGCACATAGACATACGGTGTCTACTCACACATATCCAGCTAGGAAATAGAGGAGAACGGGCGTCCAAAGATTAGGGGACGACTACTGCGCGATTGAGTGTAAGTGAGCACGCTGTCGAACGAAATCCTTCCCCGAAAAAGACGGCTGAACGTTCCTGAAACGCAACTCGATAAGGGTGGTTCCTCTGTCGACACGAGAACCATTGAAAGATGCATGCTTCTCTGCTCGTCGCTATTTTCAACTTCCCTTACTAAGTGGCCGAGGTTCCTACTAATGAGGCACGGTTTCAGGCAGCAATCCCGAACATAGTTTGGCTCCACGTATATCGGTGTACGGCGTGTTGTGGGAAGAACTACATGTGACTAGGAGCCATAGCTATTAATATAACTGTGGTGTATGACACACTACGATTATTATGTTCAATTACATGCTATAGTATTGTAGTCTGCGAGGTGTGAAAAACCTTCCCTATGGCGCCACCAAGGGCCAATGTCTTTTTACGCTTGTGTCGCGCAAATACTGGCCGTACCAACATACCTATATAACAGGCATGTTCCGTTCTATGTTTTGCATCATACAAAAAAATTATACAAGCGGCAAATAGACAGCACGATAATAGTTACATAGAGCTATAGCATCGGGCACGTCGGCATCTCATTCTGTGCCACCTTCATCAGATTGATGTACTGTCCAATAACGACTTGACCTGAAAGCAACAGTACAGACCATGAACGCAGAGTAAGCCAGTCAGCCAGCTGAAAGCCTTAGCAACAACACAGCGAGAAACACAGCTGAGGGAGGCACTGAGTTAATCACCGTATTATAGAATGGTGCCAAGAACTCTAGCGGCAGAGAACGAAGACTGTTATACATATATATGTATATAGAAACTGGGTTGGTATGAGATTATACGTACTGCTGCATTAGCATCTATGCAATCTCAACATTTCTTTCATCTCACCCGACATTCGCGTGTCACGCGCCATCCAACCCAAAGGAAAGACTGGGTCAGTGGATTGACACACAACTGATCCCCAGCAGATTCTATCGTGACAGCAACCCAATAATAGTAAATTTGATGTTGCGCGATGTTGACGTACCCATTTTTTATACATTGGCGAATGTCGTCGGTATTAACAAAGTTTTGAAGGTTTTTGCTCCCACGTTTTCTGTCGTCTGCTTCTGTTGAAGGGGCGGACAGGACCTTTATGCGCAAACCGTGAACACAGTTAGTGATGCGATGTGTTTAGATTTCGTATAATTCTACCCTGCGGATGTGCAAGTGTCTTACAGATCTAAAAAAATGCTCTACCCCTATGCCACTGCCGAGTTCCGTATTTCTAGTAATAATTAACTTTTGTTATGGATACAAGTTGTGCCTATAGTTCATAATGAATATTAATCTTTAATAACGTCAGTCATATATATATATATATATAAGATTAATAGGACAGCCTATAGCCTTTTTTATCCACTTTATTTTTCATTGGCCGACTTCCGATCTCGTATGTTTCATAACTTTCAACCTTGGAGTCGTTTGGACACTGAAGCGAGAGGCGTGAGGTGGGCGCGCTTGGGCTCGTAGCCATACAGGGTATACGGTGTCATTTCTGCCGTTGTATTAAACGTTTTTCCTATCCAAGCCTGGTTGTAGCCACCATTGTCACTGCATAAATAGGTACATTCTAATAAGAAAGATCAGCAAAAAAATGGCTGGCGCGGATGCTCAGATTCGAGTTCACGACTGATGCAAAATTAGCCTGTAATACAAACTTTGCTACAGCCTAAGCCACCTTCAGATGACTTATAACCCTATGCCTAATACTAATGATCGAAAAGATATGGCTTTCGGGGCAGAAAGAAATGTATTTCTCTTGGCTGGTGGCATTCTAGTGGTCGTGCTCAGTTAATTACCTTCCCTTGCTATATTTGTCAGCGAAGTTTGGTGCTATCAGCTAGAGAACAAATAATCATATCAGCCGGTTGGGTAAAAGCCAAAATGCAAAAGGTTTGCTTGTCTGTATCAAAAAGACCTTCAATGTCGTAACCGTCTCATATCATGCCTGAGGTATATAAACATTTTGTAAAAAAACACTTTTTTTTTCAATTTATGTTTATTGCACTTCAATAGTTGTATCAGACACCCACGCACAGAAATAGAAATGGTTCTGATTGTTTCAGGAGGTATTAGTCATAGCTGCACAAATAAGATCGTATTTTCTGCAAGCAATTATCAAAAACGTTAACAATTCGCCTAGATATTTTTAGTGTTTATATACACTAGCAGTATTCTATTATAAAGATACACAAAGGTGATGGAACCTGGTCCGCGAAAAATCAATTGTTTGACCATATACACAAACTGAAAGATTTTTAGGATTTTTTAGGGTTTAGTTAATCAATGCGCAGGGTTCGACCGTATGAATTTGTCTCTTCGCGAAGTTCATACAGTGCTGTATCCTCTGGAACATTCAAAGACGTACTACAAACTGAAAGTTGTGCTTTGATTGTTCGTCAAACTGCGCACATTTTTCGAGAAACAGGTCGTCATCGATCGCTAGGTTTTGCCCCCGCCCCCAAGTGGACGTTGGCGATAACTCAGAACTAAAGTTGTTCCTCCGGTCGCGGCTACCGCTCATTCTGATTATCGCCTCGCTCCGCTTCCTTCCCTTATTTTCGATCGAGTCTCATCGATAGACGACGGAGACTCTCAAAGTACGAGAAGGCTGCTACCGGTGCTAGTCACTGCTCTAGGTCCGCTGCACACACTGCAATCGGCGCTGAGAAGTATATGAATTCTTTCGTTTGAAGTACCCAAATCTTTCCCTTTCACCCGTCGACTGCCCGTCGCCATGTCTTTCTGTTCTTTCTGCTTGCGACCACTGCTGCTCGACTACTTCAGCTTAATTTTTTGCCTATGGATGAGCCGCGATCTAGCCAACTTCCCCCTTATCATTTCGTCGGCTGCCTTTCCACTAAGTCATTCCACTGAAGTGACTGTACCTCACTGTGGCTGCTACTGCGAGCTACAGCGTTGGCGTTCCATGGCTGGTGAAAAACGCGGCAGATTGGGATATGCTTAGCCCGCGCGTGTCAGCGGGCGGCCGATCTCGGTTAAGACCTACTTGGTATGTCGTCTCGTTTTGGCCTTCACCAAAAAATTTACCCCCGTTTCCCCATTGGCTTTGCTCCTATCTTTTCCGACACCTCTCCTCTCCTGCTATGGTGACTCGTTTGCGCCTCACAAAAGCTCTCCATCGCAAAGCTTTATCTAACTTCTTCGCTTTGCGATTTCTCTCCTATTGTCTGCTTTCCGCACACAAACACATATAAAACCATAGCATTTTGTCTCGCAGTTCCAGAAGCACCTTTTCTTCCCAGGCTTCTCGGAGTTTTTGCAGCCGTATGCGGCTCCAACCGCTCTAGTCCGACTAATCCTAACCCAACCGCTTCGCGACCAATTTTCAAGATATTGATGGCTAACGAACGTGAC